GAGCCGTGCTTGCTGCTGGCGTCTGTCTTGGAGCGGCTCGGCTGTCCGGCTGGTTTTGCGCCCCGCTGACCGGCCGCCGCCACCACCTGAGGTGAAAGATGACGTCAGTTTTCTGGTTCTGGGTTCTCTGGTGCGGGTCTGGTGCCGCTCTGCTTTCCCGTGAGGCTGAGGGGAGGCCTCATCCTGCTCCCCAACTGCAGGGCAGGGGTCGGGCTCCGCTCCCCAGGAACAAGTGACAGGATGAGAGGAAACGGCCTCAAGCTGTGCCAGGGCAGGGTGAGGTTGGCCATGGGGAACAATTCCTTCCCCTTGGGGCTGTCAGGGGCTGGAAGGGGCTGCCCAGGGAAGGGGTCGAGTCCCCAGCCCTGGGGGGATTTAACAGCCGGGCAGAGGCGGTGCTGAGGGCCAGGGTTTGGGGGTGGACTTGGCAGTGCTGGTTGGACTTGATGATCTGAAAGGTCTTCTCCAACCTAAACGATTTTATGGTTCTACATTTACTGAAAATCTATGTTTCTGTTGAAATCCATCTGACTTCAGGTTTCTGCACTCGCCAGCTCTCAGGACACATCAGCTGCGCCTAGCTGTAGGTGAGCTGTGACCCTCAGATGTCACCTGCGGGATCACCTGTCGAGAAACAGGCACTTTAAAATCATTTAAACCACCCTGGGGGCCTGCCTGGCCACTGAGAGGGCTGGGAGCTCCTCCACCGGGAGCTGCCGCCATGGAGGAGGTGGAGTCGCGCTTCCTGCACCTCCTGCAGCCCATCCGCGACCTCACCAAGAACTGGGAGGTGGATGTGGCCGCCCAGCTCGGGGAGTACCTGGAGGAGGTAAGGGGGGGCCCTGCATCCCCTGCATGGGGTTGGGGAGGTTGGGGGTGACGCCCTTCATCCCTGCCTGCCCGGGGGGGGCTTTGTCTGCGCCCTGAACTCTTCCCCCTCGCTGTGCTACCCTCAAATCCAGTCTGCGAGTCGGCATTTCCTTCTCCTTCTGTTTGGCAGCTGGATCAAATCTGCATTTCCTTTGACAACGGCAAAACCACCATGAACTTCATAGAAGCGGCCCTGCTGATCCAGGGCTCAGCCTGTATCTACAGCCGGAAGGTGAGGAAGCCGGCGGCAGCTGCCACGTTGTGGGCCTGGTTCTGTAGCCCTGCCTGTTCTGCGATCCCTCAGCCCGTGGTCCTGCGGCCAAGCTCCGCGGGGGCTGCTGTGGGGAGCTGGTTTTGAAAGGCCTGAACGTAATAATGACTCACGGCAATGAAAGGATACGGGTTTATAGTTCCTAAATTCAATCACTTCACATGTGTTGGGGTTGGCAGCCTGGAAAAGGGCAAGAAGATTTGCTGTTTGGCGCTTTTCTTCTCTAGAGGGCAGAATACAAAACCCCTGCTTCCCCAAATCTGGCCTCAGAATGGCTCAAACAGTGAAAAGAACGATGAGATTATCAAGGGACTGAACTCTCGCTGCCTGGAAATACGAGGAGGGCAGGTGGTTCATCCCGGCATCAGCTGGAGCAGCTTTTCTGGGAGCTGGTTTCTCCTTCTCCACGAGCCTGGCCTCTGTCTTACAGGTGGAGTACCTCTACTTGCTGGTCTACCAGACGCTCGACTTCATCTCCAACAAAAAGTAAGTGGAGCCCCCAGCCCGGCGCAGCAGCTTTGCCGGGGCTCAGGGCCCCCCCCCTTCCCGGCGGGGTTGCGGTAGCCTCGAGCGCACGCGAGCTGTGGGTACGAGGCTGGGACTTGCCCCACCTACTGTGATCCCACTTCTGCCTCGCTACTCACACTCTGCCCCCAGGCAACTGTGTCTCTTAAAAAACCCCAGATGAACCTATGCAGCGTTGATCTCCAGCCCCTCAAGAGCAATTTGCAGCCGAAGGGTTGTGGTGGCTGCGGGGAAGTCCCCTGCTGGGGCTGGCTTCAGCCCAGAGGGCCTGGGGCGATGCTCATCCCCGTGCATCTTCCAGTGGCATCATCCTGCGGTTTTCTTGCCGCAGCGCTTTGCTGTTGCGTAAGGAGAGGGCGCTGCCCAGCGCCCCACGGAGTAAATCTTAGCGGGCCAGAAACCGTCCTGTGTGGCAGAGCAGCTCGTGATTTATTTTTTTCCCCTTATTGCTGAAAGCGGGGCTCTGCCCTTGCAGCTGCCTTGCGTAACTTGCCTGCTCCCAGCCTGGCGCCGGCTCCGAACACGCTCTCCGCTGCGGAGCAGTCAGCTAATGGCACCCTCCCCTCTGCGCTCGGGCTGGGGGTTTGGGGAAAGACGAGGTTTCTGTGGCTCCAAACCCCTGCCTGGCTCCAACCGCGCACAGGAGCTTTGGGAGGGAGCCGTCCTGCCTCTGCTACGCCCGGGCCTGAGCCCCGCCTGTGGGAAATATCGCCCGTTGTTTGGGAGGTGGAGGCAGAGGACCTGAAAGATCCTCCGCTTGGGCCGGGGCAACGTGACGCTGCTGCGGAGGTTTCCCAAAGTCTCCGACAACTATTTCCGTGCTGTGGGATTGAACTGAAACGTTCCCTCCTGTTTGTGTAGCAGAGCTTCCGTGCTGGAACCGGCCGGACATTTTTGTTCCGGCTGGGGTTGTTGGGCAGGCTGGGTCCCCGCTCCCCGCAAGCCCCAATTCCTCTGCAGCCCCCACCGCCTCGCTGGGCAGGCGCAGAGGAGCACGACGAGCGTTGGCTCGCTCTCGCCAGGGGAGCGTGCTGATGGCACAGCTCTCCGTGCCGTCACCTCTCCGTGCCGTCCATCGCGCCGTGGGATGCTGCTCCCGCTTAGAGACGCCACAGTGGGGTTGGAGGGAACCTGCCCCCACTTCGCCCCCAGCCCTTTGCCGCTGTCCTGGCCGGATCCT